CAGTGCTGAGGGAGCGCCGCACTGTCGGAGGGTCAGTGCTGAGGGAGCGCCGCACTGTCGGACGGTCAGTGCTGAGGGAGCGCTGCACTGTCGGAGGGTCAGTCCTGAGTGAGCGCCGCACTGTCGGAGACTCAATCTGCACTTAGATACAGCCATTAAAGATTCCCAGGGCCTCATTGAGAGAAGATTTGGCAATATCTCCCCTGTAAAGCAATGCCACTAAAACATGAGATCTGGTCACTGTCACACTGCCGTTTGTCGGAGTCTTGCTGTGCACTAATTAGTTGCAGCTACCCCCCCAACACTCCACCACCACCAGCCCCACTCCCCTGACACCCAGCCCACCATCACCATATGTCATTCATCTCTATCAATCTGCCATGATTGTTCAGTTAAGGCATCATTGGGAGGTTGAGGCGTCACTGCTGTGCTGGGGGCTGGATGTTGTGCTGCTGCATTAGAAAAGAGGGTGGGAGAGAAATGGTCATCTTCAGGGTTCCAAGGAATCTTGGCAAGAGTTGAATGTGGACAGTGAGGCATTGGATAGTGAAGAGAATGGGGAATGTAGATCAAGAGGCCTACTTCAGGCTGGGAATAAGGGCATGGAACACAGCTTTGAATTGGTATTTCTGGAATTAAACGGAGGGAACCGATATTGACAGACTCCCAGCTAGAGCTGTGGGGATATAAACACTAATTGGAAGCGTGTAATAGGAGTCAATGTGTCTGTCTGGTCAACCTAATGTGGGTAACACTTAGCTAAAGGAATGATTCAGTCCCGTCTGGTACTGTACATCTCTGTGTATGTGTGTTTTAGTGCCAGCTCCTGTACATGTACAGTATACCATTGGCTAAAAGTCTGTGAGTGTGTGTGTGTGAGATAGAGAGAGTTCCTGTGCATGCACAGTACACACTGGTTAAAGGGGAATGACTTTCTCCCGTCTGGTACTGTACAGACCTGTGTTTGTGTGTGTGTGTTTGTGCGTGTGTGTGTGTGTCTCACGCCTGTTTGGCTATTTCCCTTCGGGTACTGATACAGCAGTAAACAAGCTGTCAGGTTTCACTGGGACTAGCCTCTGCTTTCCCAGGGATGTACAGCAGGGGGCCCGGGGCACCAGCTGTTGCCTGGCTGTCTTCAGGCCAGAAGGATAACAAGGTGTAGAGCTGGATGAACACAGCAGGCCAAGTAGCA